CTTCGCAAATTGTCTTGCAATGTGGCCCCATGGCCAAATTATGACATTATATGTTCAGAGTCCCTTAGTCGCAAGTTGGTACGCTAGGTTAGGTGAGGCACTGGGTGCCGGTTTTGCCCCCCAAGTTCGGGGCGTGACAATTTACTTCATAATAACCGTCCACATCCAATATCGAGTGCATAAGCTGTATGATCATATCTGAATCTGATCCCTTCATTTCTGTGGACGAGCCCATATTGGCCAGTGCGTGTACTTCTGCATTTTCTTTTATCGGGATGTGGGTGATTGACCATTCCCTGAACCGTGCGAGCAGACTTTCACCATATATTGTTGCATGCGTTCCTCTTTGGTGTCAAAGATTCCGTATACCTGATTTACCACTAATTGGGAATCACATTTAATTTCAATAACCTCGGAGTCTAGTCCTCGGGCTAGTTCAAGTCCTGCAATCAAAGCCTCATACTCGGCTTCATTATTAGTCAAGGGAACCGTTTTTATGGCCTGCCTCAGGGTTTGTCCCGAGGGCGTAATTAATATTACCCCGAGTTCGGAACCTTTCACATTGGAAGCTCTGTCCATGAACAAGGTCCAAACTCCGATGTCATTTTCGACGCCATCACCGCTTCTTTAGTGGCCAAAGACAGTAGCCCGAGACTGAAATCGACTACAAAGTTCGCCAAAACTTGTGATTTGATCATAGTCCTGGGTTTATACTCGATGTCAAATTCACTCATCTCGACCGCCCACTTGGCCAGTCGACCTGACAATTCAGGTTTGTAGAGAACATTCCGCAGGGGAAAACTTGTCATCACGGCTATCGGGTGGCATTGAAAGTAAGGCCTAAGCTTTCGAGCGGCGACTACGAGAGCTAAGGTCAATTTTTCGAGGTGCGGGTAACGAATTTCCGCTCCCGTTAAAATTTTACTAACATAATAGATAGGAGATTGTGTACCTTTATTTTCTCGGACTAGAACAGCACTTACCTCTACCTTCGAGACCGCTAGGTAAACCAGCAATTGTTCACCTTCTTCTAGTTTTGATAGTAATAGAGGGCTTGATAAATACTATTTCAGGTCTTTTAGGGCCTATTGACATTCTAAAGTCCATTCGAAGTTGTTCTTTTTCTTCAGAAGTGATAGCATTTTCGAGGACCGGGAAATGAACCTTCTTAGAGCAGTCAGTCTTCCTGTTAAACTTTGGACTTCTTTAAAGTTTGTCAGCTGGTCTGGAATGTCCTTGATGGCTTTAATCTTGTCGAGGTTGACTTTGATCCCCCTTTGTGACACCAGAAAACCCAAAAATTTATCGGAGCTGACTCTGTTCTATTGAATAGAAGATGATTTTACATCAACAAGTAAAGGAAAAAAGAAATTATTTAGTACTTACTTTTGATACTAATTCAAATTGCCTTGCTGTGTCAGAAGAAGGATAGTTATACTGATTCGGTATACTCTCAAGATGCCCTCGGTACAATATTGACGATCTCACAAAGATGCAATTTCAGTGAATGTCATTTACTGATCTCATATTTTACGGAATCGATCCTCTTTGACTGTACAAGAATATGTGGAGCACCGACGGTTCCCGACTTTCTCTGCTTTCCGCAACCGTAACCACTTTTCATTCCGATTACTTCATCCATAAACCTTTTTTTTATTTCAAAATAGCGATACGCTCTAAAAAAGTAAAGGAGAAGCTTCAATTCTAGAAGCTACCACTTCCTGCCTCCCTCGGGGTGAGAAGTTCCCTTCCCTTTTCTAAAATGCCTGAGTGGTCTACTCAGCAAACGTACAAAGTGGACCGCAGTTTGGCACACTTTTCGGGATTGAGCTTCATGTTGTGCTTCCTTAGGATGTTAAAGGTTTCTTGGAGGTGTTTCAGATGGTCACCTGCATTCAAAGACTTAACCATCATACTGTCTATATAAACTTCCATTGTTTTTCCTATTTTCTTTTAGAATATTTTGTTCACGAGCCTTTGGTAAGTGGCTCCCGCGTTCTTAAGCCCGAAGGGCATCACATCGTAGCAATATATGCCAAAGTTCGTTATGAACAAAGTTTTTTCCTGATCCTCCGGGTTCATTTTGATATAGTTGTACCCGAAATAGGCATAGAGTAAACTCATCAACTCGTGCTCGGCCGTTGCATCAATCATTTTATCAATATTTGGCAATGAGAACGAGTCTTTCGGGCACTCCTTATTCAGATCCTTATAATATACGCACATGCAAAATTTATTATTCTTTTTTGGAACTACTACGTTAGCTAGCCAGTCGGGATACATTACTTCCCGGATTGAACCGATATCGAGCAATCGAGTTACCTCTTCTTTGACAAACCTGTTTCTAACCTCGACAATCGGGCGCTTCTTTGAAATCGCATTCATCTCCCTTGTCGCCGGTTGATCTCCTCTTATTTGTTTGATTCCCTCTAGAGTTGAAAATTTTAGAAGTTGGTGGTATGTTGATGGCACGACCTTCATCTCGTGTAGCCAAGGTTTGGCAAGAATTATGTTGTAGCCTGTGTCGCCATCCACTACTTCAAACAAGGTAGTCTTCATGACCCCTTCGGCGTTCGTGGGCAGCAAGATCTCCCATAGGGTTGTCATGCTTGCCAAGTTGAACCCCGCGAGGAGCATTGTGGCTAGAATGATGCTTCCGGTTAGCTTGGCTTGCTCCAGCACTCTCCATTGAATGATATTGGCTAAACTTCCCGGGTCCACCAAAATACGTTTCATTTTAAAATCCAAAACATTAAAGAGAAATTACCAAGGTATCGTTGTGCGATAGTAGAACTCCATCGACGTCCTTCTTTGTTAAGGTGATATCTGCCTCGGCGACTTTCCGGAGTCTCTTATTGTGAGTCATCAATACCTTTGTCTTTTTTGCTACCGAAAAGGTTACACCATTAAACTCGTTCCTCCCAAAAATCATGTTGATTGTTAGTCGTGGAAGATCTTCCCCTATCTTCAAAGACTCTGCGTTGTCTCGGTTGTGGCCGTAGTTCTATTTAGCACGATTGCTTAAGAACTCTCTGAGATGGCCATTTTTTAGCAATGTCGCCACCTCCTCGGACAGATGTCGGCAGTATTTCTTCGAGTCCGGGCCCTTCACGCCGGTGGTGAATTTTGTCTATACGAGGGTTTATTTCTTTCATAAACCGCATGAGCTCGGTTTTAAAGGGATTATTACCGTTGTTGTTACCAGATCCGCTGCCGATCCCGGCCCTGTCAAAGCAGACCTCACCCCTCGGGGTGTTGTTATCGACCATTTGCGCTGTTTGGTTTGCAGGAGCACAGGGAGGAACTAGACCTCTTCCATTCGCGTTGTTGGAAGCACCCGATAGCGCTTGCCTCAATTCTATCATGGCCTAGTCTTGCCATGAGAGATGACCCATGATGTTGTTCTCTCAGGATCCTTACCGTTTCCGCAATGTGCTCGTCTTCAGCGTCATCAAGAGTCGCCTTCCGTACGTGCCGTGGATATTTTTCGCTATGAACCGATGTGGCTACGTCCTCCTCGTTACGGGTATCACTGATCGAATCTTGGTGTTGAGGCGAATTTTCTTTGGCCTCAACGTTGTGTGCCATGTTGTTATCGTTAGGTGCCATTTTTAGGGTTTTTTGCTAAGAAACAAATAATCAAACATATTAGTAATAGATACAAGGATCAACTCAATTACGCAATTGTCTAAGCCCCACGGTGGGCGCCAAACTATTTACCCGCAAAACTCAATTTTGCGAATTGATTTGATCCCAAAATGATAAATAAATTAAATAAAATACAAGACTTAGTGTTGAAATCGAGATAAGATAGCAAACAACTTGGTTCTGGGAGCAAGGCTTCCGAAGATAATAGTAAGAATATTGATAGACAGAAAATAAATTATTATTTAGCTTAGAATAATGTGTAGCATAAGTTTATCAGAATTGCTGTGTGTTACAATGGCTGTTGAAGTCACTATTTATAACTATACCTAGGGAACAAGGTCCTAGCATCAATCCCCTCTTAAATGACAATAATGGGTGTCATTGATGAATATATAACAGCATGCTATGAATGCCAAAATTCTCTGTAACGGATTGTGTATTTAATACTGAGGAATATTCTTCATTGAATGTCATCGGGTGACAAATATTTGTTTGCCCTTGTTAACAATGTTCCCTTCGGGGACTGTCTGGTGCCAACCGAAATTGTTGTACTCGATTTTGATTTCCACTTGCTTCGTCTTCCGTCTGTCTCCGGTTCCACATGTCATTCTAATTCAAGTATTTGATATGAATCGATTTTACCCTATACAATTGTGCAGAATTTCAGAAAGAAAAAAAAGACTTTTAAAACTTGTGGTCTAAAACAAACCATAAATACTTATGTGATTATTTTCTCATTAAGATAAATAATTTTTTTTCAGACAGACTGAAAAATAAAATATAACAGTTAAATTGAGAAAGAAAAAGTATTTTTAAATAAATTGGGATGGATGTACTGATTTTTAACTAAAGAATAAAATAAATAAATTCAGATGCTGAAAAAATCAACACCCTTAATCAGATTTAGACATAATATTATTTTTATATATTCAAAATGGTTGTTGTTGACAAAAAAAATGAAGATAAAAAAAAACAAAAACAAAGAGGAGTTGTGCAAAGGTAGAACTGAGCATCGTTTTCACAGTTCAACCTCACCAAATGAAAATGCTACTACAGTATGAAAAGCAAAGGTATAATAAGTCTTCTTCTTCGTCTCATTTCCACACGACGTCGTTTTCCCCTGTCGTATCTCCAATCAGTTGCGGAGTTGGAGTGTTGTGACCGGTCGGCCGAACCCAATAACTTTGATTTGAACGTGTTTATCCTATTAATTTTGAACCGAGTAATTTTTAAATTAAAATACCGAACCTAACAAGCTTTATAACCTACGCGCCTATTTTGTCCACCTCCTTCTACTTCTTCTACTCGCTCTGTTTTTTCCAAATTCTAAGGTACCTAACGATTCTTCTCTCTCTCTCTCTCTCTCTCACGTACACCCACACCCACACTTTGAGTTATTATTCAGGATTTGAATTGAGCTAGCTACAATTTGTTCTCCTGATTTTGGGGAATATTGTTTTTTTTTCACGCTCCTGTTAAAAATTGCTGGCTTTGTTGATCAACAGTAGATAAGTTAATTAGCTTATGATCAGATGAGTTTGAAGTGATTAAGCTGAATCTGAGGTAGAGGTTTTAATTTAGAGCAAATTGCAGAATGGTGATATGATTAGTCAAGAATTTTGATTTTTGGTACATTTGCATAGAATACTTGAAAACTTTAAAATATGCTAGTGCCTCTGTTTATATGAACCTATTTCTGTTTTTAGTCGCAAAAAGAATAAAACCATTCCTATTAAGGAAACTCTTAATTTTAGGATTTCAATATGACCTTTAATGAGAAGCTTTTACAAACACACAAATGTTATGTCATATTTTACAGCACAAGTTTCAAAAGATTTAGTCACAATTATGTTAATGACATGTGTACAACCACAAGTTTCAAAAATCTTGTACCCAGTCAAATGGATTCACATAAATTGAAGCGGAGATATTAAATACAGGGCGTGCTCATTTATTTTTAGATGAAAAAAACTTATACATGATGCATTTATTTATCTTTTTAGGGTTCAAAACCGATCTTACTAATAAATCATTTTCGTAGGATGTGATGCATATGCATATATGTACTTTATTTTTATTTTTTTTGTTGGTACCGGGAATTTTGAATTTTAGCTAATTGTTTCCTTCATACTTAATTCAAAAGAAACTTAATACAAAACTTAATATTTTTACTGTAGAATGCGTAAATTTCAATGGTTTACCTGAGTAGCAGAGCCATAGCATTTGGTTATAAGATGTGTTTCTTTTAAAATTGGTGTACGCCTCAATTACAAACTAGTTGGTGTTGGTTATATGAATTCTATATCCATTCTGCTCCATTTGGTCCGGTCCATACCCCTACTCAGTTTTTTTAAAGCAAAAGAACTGACAACATTTTGATTTGAATATATCTCTAAAACAGTGCACATTTTCATCTGTCACAGAAAAATTGGGGAAGGCTGACATGTAATTCACACGTCAGGAGGCATTATCGGTCAAGTAAGAAGATTGTCCTACTAAAGTACGGATTGAAATGAACTGCAGCTGCTTTGGTGCCTCAACTGTGCGGCAGAAAAGGGGTATTGATCATGTTCATAGAGATACACCACACACTGGAGGTTAGTACATAGTTGGAACTTGGATTTTAGCTGATCAGTTTTTCTCAGTTGCATGATTTATTTAGTCGTTTGATGAATTTTTCGCAACTTTATTGCCTTCAGCATTAACCCTCATACTCCTACATAGCTGGTTGGTCTGGATGTTGCATTGTCATTTTATCATGGTGGTTGCAATATTCTGTCGATAATTCCAATTCATTCTTCTCTTTCCTTTTTCTAGTTATCAAATTGTTTATAATGCTTCTGCCTTTGTATACTTGCTATTCTGAAATTCTCTTACACCCAATGTTAGTGGATACAAGCTGTTTAACACCTCCAGTGCACTTATCATTACTTATTTTGAGCTAATTGACATGCTTTCTGTAATTTATGCACCAGATTGAACAAGCGTTGAGCATAATTTATTTTGTTGCAATATTAAAAGTCAGTCAGCCTTTATTTCCTTCCCACTTGAAGAAATTCATGATGTGTAATGAAGGGAGTGATTTCTACAAGAATATTTTGGTACTTGATAAATATAATTAATATGCTTGCTATATAGATAATGACATGTTCTAGAAGCAGTTGGTGTTTGGATTGTGTTTGCTCCAAGGGGCCAATTTGTACTTGGCCCTTGATCCCAAAAGAAAAGAAAACGTCAATTGATCAACTACACTTCAATCCTAGGGTTGAAAATGTGGAGAATTCATTGTAATTAGACTATTTTTACGTTGGTTGCTAGGTGACTACAACCCTTCTCATTTATTATCCGGCTTGGGACACGGTATGCTTTACAAGGCCCACAGAGGTGGATTTCAAAGAAAAACACGATTTCATCTTGTTCCTAATTAGAACTAAGAACTGGTCAAATTTGCTCCAGGATCTGAATAGTGAGTAGTTGCCGAACATGAACTGATGTGGTAGGTTTAATCATAGAATAGCATTATAAGGGTCGAGAAGGGAAACTTTGAGTATTCCCTGCTCCCTAGCTTGCTCAGGTATCTGTCTAAAATCATCTTATAAGTGGTTAGGATAAGAGGCAGTCAGTCAAGTGGCACAACTATTACTCCCTCCATGTCACTTTATGTGAACTTGTTTGACTGGGTACGGAGTTTAAGAAAAAAATGAAGACTTTTGAAACATGTGGTCTTAAACATGCCATAACATTTGTATGGATATAATTCTTTTGAAACTTGTGGTCTTAAACATGTTATAGCATTTATGTGGCTCTAAAAGCCTCTCATTAAGAGTATAGTAGGAAGTTTAAGTTAAATTATTTCCAAATTTAGAAATGGTTCATTCTTTTTGGAACGGACTAAAAAAGAAATAGGTTCACAATAAACGGGAACAAAGGGAGTACTTTTTATGATAAAAAAAGTTCACTATACCAAGTGATATGGGAGAAGTTATACAGAGCCCTGCATCAATGATGACACAGTTGAAGGGTGAAAAAGTTCCTTCTAGTTTAGTTTTTGGGGCAACCATGAAACTTTTATTCTTGGTCAAAGACTTGACGCATCACATTTTGTTGCTGAAAATTTCCTTCTATCCATCTTTTTTCTGCAACAATTTAATCATTTCCTTTTGTTCTTCAATTTCATGTCCACACTAATATTTCCTTTCTGTCAGGCTGCTCCACTGCAAAGACAAAGAATTTTTCATATAGTGAATTAAGAATAGCAACCAACAACTTCCATCAAAGTAACAAAATAGGGCGAGGAGGTTTTGGGACAGTATACAAGGTTCAACTCTATTCTATAAATACTTCTCTTCCTTTTCATGCCCGAGCTTTATTACACGAACAGCTTGCATTTGCTCGTAATTTGCATGGGGCTATTTACAGAATTACATTGCTGGAAGGCCTGGAACTATAAGACCTTTGTGTTATTAATTATAGGTAGAGATATATTATCTGCAATTCTTTAAATTTTGCATCACAAACTTGTAATTATGTTATTTGATTTTCACATTTTCTGCCTCTTAAAGACAGTTATGCTTTGTAAACATTTTACTCTTGTAAGTTTCGGTTCATGGTTTTTGGCATATATGTAATATGAGATCAAGACTTTTAGAGAATAACAAGGTCCTTGGACTTAAACTCTTGTGGTGCATTCACATATTAGTTGAATGGTTATTAATTTTAGTGCAACTTTGTAGGGAACTCTAAAAAGAGGAGTAGAAGTTGCTGTGAAGACACTTTCTGCCGAATCAAGGCAGGGGTTGCGTGAGTTTTTGACAGAGATTGAAACCATATCAGATGTCAGACACCCCAATCTAGTTGAGTTGATTGGATGCTGTCTTGAAGGAAGTAACCGGATCTTGGTCTATGAATATGTAGAAAATAGGAGCCTCGATCGAGCACTGTTTGGTAAATTTGCTAGAAATTAAAAAAATACTTCACCATTTATGAAAGGGTTACTGGAAATGATGCTTGCTTTGCAGGTTCCAGCACTAGGAATGTTAAATTAGAGTGGGACACAAGGGCTGCTATTTGCTTGGGTACCGCTAGAGGTCTTGCCTATCTACATGAAGAATTAGTGCCGCATATAGTGCACAGGGACATCAAAGCTAGTAACATACTGCTTGATAAGGATTATAAGCCAAAAATTGGAGATTTTGGACTTGCAAAGCTTTTTCCAGATAATATCACTCATATCACCACACAGATAANCATCACCACGCAGATAAAAGGAACTACGTATGTCTCCTGAATTTATTGTTGAAGCTTCAATGTTTTCCGTTACTTGAAATTGGACTTTGTTTAACAGAGAGATTTAGTATAGTTAATACTTCCTGTGGGATGCTATAACCTCTGCAGTTGTAGCTAAAGTGAAGAAAGGAGTGCAAGATAGTGCCTCAATACGAGTGTCCCCAATCATATAGATTTGCCTTGGGGTTTCAACGTGTGCCATTTTTCTATCTGGAGTCTTTGTCTATGAATATTCTTGTAACTGCTATAGGATAGAAAATTTATTACATATGATTTGTGAGAAGTGTAGGTATAGGGAGTACTTCCTATGGATAGAAGCTGGGGTAGGGTTGCGGAATGGAGTCTAGAGATGGCAATTTCCACTGTTCAAGGGACTATTTGCCCCTGCTCTACTGTACCTTCATGATGGGAAAAGTACTTCGGGAAAATTGGAGGTTGATATGGGGAAGATAGAATTTGAACTTCACGAGGAGTGGCAATTTTGGATTAGGCATTCACATAAACATTATTGTTCCCACAGTACACTAAATATTATTAGCTTTGTTTACCATACAATTATAGCTTACATATATTTTCCACTCAAGGTTCTTCCCCTGGTTTCTCTACTTTCAACTGCCTATCAGTATCTCTCAATTGTTCTTGTTTATTTTCTCTCAGTATTTGTTGGCGTATTTGGTAATCAAGTGCTGTTTGACCTATGAGCTTAGTGGATGTAAATCAAGAAGTAGATAACAAAATTATTGTGGATGTCAATAGGAAGGGTGCACATACACATGGGTAGAGCATTAGCTAGTAAACTTGAAATCACCATTCATCCGTGAGTACAGTGAGCGTGAGTGTGGAGGATTGTAGAATTTGGGTGTCTTTAAAAATCTTTTAGATACACCTGTTAAAAAATTTAGAAGGCATTTTTACACTCACCGGTACCTCTCCAATTGCCATATCTAAGTGGATTCTCCTTTTTAAAGAACTAGCTTGTCTGAACTGTGTTGCTTATATTGTACCTCTTCCAGTGCAGAAGAATTAAGGGTACACGTTCTTCATAGCATCTTGCTACCCTTGCCTGATAAATATGTGTATTTTTCCTGAGAATTCACTATTGTTTGCCCTATTATTGTACACATTGTGTCTACTAGAAAGGCAGCGGATTATCTAGCATCTGGCTCAAACTAGAGTGTTTTGAATGTTCTGTGTTATGGTGTAGATAGGTCTCCAACAGATGTTCTGCTTTAAAATTTTAAATGGTACCATGGGGTAACTGAAAGCAGTGTTCTTACTTCTGTACCTTTTTCTCTTCCACGCAGTGGCTATTTGGCACCCGAATATGTAATAGGCCGTCAATTAACATCCAAGGCTGATGTTTACAGTTTTGGAGTCCTAATACTTGAAACAGTAAGTGGCAGGAGCAGTGGCAGCGGTACATGGCAAGGGCAGAAGTTACTCCTGGAATTGGTGGGTAGAATTTTTAAATTCCTTAATTTCTTTCTAGATCTACCATTCATTTTCCCAATAAAATCAACAGTCTATTGCATGGTTTGTTTACTTGCATTTGCAACTAGTATTTACATATATTGATTAGTGCTATTTGAAATAAGAAAACTGCCAGGCACATCAAGATGTGATTCTGTAGAGAATAGAGGTGAATCCATCTCTGATAAGTATATATCAACCAATAAATTAAATGTGCCTCAATCTCAAACTAATTTGGACGGTTATGTGAATGACATATGGATATGCTCTATCCGGACACATTTTACTCCTCTACTGTAAATAAGTTGTCTTGTGAAAATCTCTGATTAAGGAGTAAATGATTATTCTTTTCCTTCTCCCAGAGTTGTGCAAAGTTAACAGTTGTTGGACTTTCACCTATATCAATGCGGTTTATCAAGCAAAGTATTTACATAGCCAAATACAAACTAGTCTGAATTAAGGTTTAGTCGTTATTACTCTTACACTATGTTCCTTATAAAACAATTTACACTTACTTTAGTTCCATCGTTTACCAGTTAGTCTTGTAGTCTTTGTCTTTTAGTCTGATTAGAGATTTGTATGTTAGAATAAGGATAGGTGTGAGATTTAGAGAACCTCTAATTTACCAGTAGTGGAATGCATATAGAGAATTAATATACTTCAACCTAAGGCATAGTTGCTTGAAAGAGTCTCAAATAAAAATGTGCAAGATGAGATTTTTAGATTCAGTGGGCATTTGGACATAAGAATTGTAAAATTCCAAAAAAAAGTGAAAAAAATGTTCACGTGAAAATGGTATTTGAAAATTAGAGTTGTGTTTGGACATGAATATAATTTTGGATTGTTTTTTAAGTTTTTTGAGTAATCTGAGTGAAAATTTTGAAAAACAACTTTTTGGAGTTTTTCAAAATTTCGAAAAAATTTCAAAATGCATCTTCAAGTGAAAATTGGAAATTTTATGAACAATGGCTGATTTCGGAAAAAAGTGAAAATTCTTTGAAAAAAAGGGAAAAATTTCTTATGTCCAAACGGGCTCTCAGCATGGGAAAAAGCATGAACAAGACAAGTGTATTTGAACCTGTTTCGTCCAATTTGGATCATGGCAGAGAGACAATTAGAAAGTGCTATTACAAAGTTGAGCTGATCCAAGAAGGTACCCATTGGTTAAAGATGTTGCTTACCCAAGGGCATGGCCCAATGGTCAATAAACTGGGAGGAGAACCATGAGGTCTCAGGTTTAAATCCCAGCCAAAAAAAAAAAGTGATTTCTTCCCATTTGCCTAAGCCTTGGTGGTCAGAGTTATATGGTACCTTTGCTGGTGGGAGGTAGCAGGTGTCCGGTGAAATAGTCAAGGTGAACACAAGCTGACCGGGATGCATCTGTCATAAAATAATAAAAATAAAAAGATGCTACTTTACAGCAATAAGAGATTGTGCTGAGTATGAAGGATTCATGTTATTCTGGGAACTGCCAGAGGATCTAAAGTCCAACAGTCCAAATTGTTGCCTCAGATAGGTGCTGTACCTTCATGTGATTGTTCACAAATGTGGGTCTGTGGTGTTGTTGAGGAAGGCTGCAGAGAGGCATTTCGATTTTCAAAGTCTCAAAGATGAATATTTGCTGAATTTAATTTTTCTTGTATGAATCTGTTTCTTTTTGCTTCTCAATGTCTCCCTTTGATTAGCTTATACTTCCATAATAAATTAAACTGCTAACATCATAACTGGAGTAGCGTAAAGACTGAAAGTCGGGAGGCAGCCATATAGTTTTCTTGAGCATCATTGACCAGTCATTCAAATAAACAATGGGCAAGCAACACCAAGAAATGTGAAAAAATATACCTAGATATGTTGAGATTTTTCTAGTTTTCAGGCTAAAATAGTGAGGAAACTTTCAAGGTAATTATAGCAAACATAATTTGTTCCTTTCCCTTTTTGGCTTCTCGTGAATCTATGAAACCAACTCTTGAAAATACAACATTCTAACATTGTTTTAACTGTCCAAAGTTTCTTTATTTAATGACAAACTTGAAATTCACTGCATCAGGCCTGGCAGCTCTATGAAGAGGAAAAGCTTTTGGAATTAGTTGATCCAGAACTGGGAGATTTTCCAGAAAAAGAAGTCGTCAAGTACATTAAAGTAGCTCTCTTTTGTACACAAGAAAATGCAAATCGAAGACCAATGATGAGCCAGGTTCTTGAAATGCTCACAAGAAACATCAAGCTAAATGAGAAAGAACTCACACCACCAGGATTTTTCCAAGATTCAGGCGGGGTTAGTGGTACGCAATCTAAGCTGAAGTCATCTGAAAGCAGTACAAGTTATCAAATGAGTTCTGTCCCCCTTACAATCACTCAGGTGATCCCTAGATAATCAATTTATCAATAGTGAATGACACTTGAACTTTTCATCGAGAATGAGTTGACCGCTTTAGTTTACTTAAGAAGAGGAAATGAGGAATATAGGAAGAAATTATTGCCAGCGGGGTTTTGGTTCAATGATAAGGATGCGGCACATTATGTGGGGGTTGGCACACATCATGAGTTTGACCCTTTCACGAACAAAGCCTGATATTTAAGTTGGGAAGAGAGTAGAGGGCACGCCTATACTCCTCGGAGTTTCAAATATGTGCACCAATTGGAGCTGGGGCAGAAACCATAGGGAATTTCGTTAGTATAAAGAAAATTAGGAAGAAATTATTTCAATAAATCATATTCTCTATTTTTCTAATTATTTGGTTTTATCCCTAAAGTAGTTCACTTTTTCGTCAATCTACGTTGTCCAACACTTTCTTTCTTTTTTTCCTTTTACTGAGAGTGAACATGGTTTGGAGGCTAACAGCCTAACAGTCTCTTGTATCTACTAGATTGATCAGACAAGTCTTATTTTAAAAAGGGCAGTCGGGTGCACAAGAAATCCCGCATTAACGCATGGTCCGGAGAACCACCGCATCCCAAGGGGTGTGATGTAGAAAGTCTACCCTAATGCAAGGGTTAGTGGCTGCTTTCACGGCTTGAACCCGTGACCTATAGGTCACACAGAGACAATTTTACCGTTGCTCCAAGGGTTCCCTTCCGAGAGAGGTCATATTGTATAATATTTAATTTTTAAAATTTCTATCTACTAGATTGATCAGACAAGTCTTATTGTAAAAAGGGCAGCCGGGTGCACAAGGAATCTCGCATTCACGCAGGGTCCGGAGAACCACCGCACTCCAAGGGGTGTGATGTAGACAACATACCCTAATGCAAGGGTTAGTGGCTGCTTTCACGGCTTGAACCCGTGACCTATAGGTCACACAGAGACAACTTTACCTTTGCTCTAAGGGTTCCCATACGAGACAAGTCATAATGTATAATATTTAATTTTTAAAATTTCTTTTACCTTTTCTGCTGTATTTCTCGTCTTTGTATTTTATTTGGATTCTTGTTCTAATCACTGCGCTGGAAAGAAAATAAATTTAAAAAGAAAAAAAGAAGAAGGCTCAATTCCTTTGCATGCAAACTTATATAAGTGTGCCCAGTGAGGGATCCACGTTTCAAATGCTCCAACTTTTGATGTTAGTTATACCAATTCCTTACCAATGTCAAAGTAAGCTTTTCAAAATACGTTACTTCGTGTTAACAAACACCATGGTACCTGCGAAATACGATTTGTGTCAACAGCGGCATATATAGTGAAGAAGCTACTTCTTCATAGACTGAGACGGACACAAAAGGAAAGAAAAATTACAACAGCAACAACAACAATCCAGCGAAATGTCACAAGTGGGTTTGGGTTTTGAGAGGGTATTGTGTACGCAAACCTTATCCCGAGGGGTAGAGAGGTTGTTTTCCAATAGACCCTTGGCTTAAGAGTACGAAAAGAGACAATAGATAGCAACAGAAAGCAGAAAAATAAAAAAACCCACAAGAAAAATTAAAGATAGATAAAAGATAACATGAGAGAGAGAGAGAGCGCTTCCTTATGAACATGAAAATCGTCTGGACTCCAATAATACAATAAAAGATTCTGATATTCAGAAAAACAAAATGCAGCTGCAGCTACCTCGAACCAATGGGATGTAAGAAAAGGACAGAATATCTAGTGTCAAAAAAATCATGACCAAGAAAGAAATTTGCAGAGGGAAACACACAACACATTATACAATCGGATAAAAATTAGGTTGCATTTTGATCATTCACAGCAGCAGGTTCTTCTGATATCTGAGGAGTAACACTTGAATCACTAACAACAGGTGCATCACCAGCAGCCGATGCTGTTCCATCAGCTGCTGCACCTTTAGTGTTCTTGACATCTTTCCCACCCTTTGCATCTTTTCCGTCCTTCCCGGCTTTGCCATCCTTGGCAGGTGCAGGAGGTGGTGGCAACATATGAGGTGGTGGGTTGTGCTTAAGCTTCACCAAGATGTGTCGCATCCTTGAAAGATCGGTAGGTTTTCCAGGTTTGGGCCCTTGGACGACTGCGATGGATGGCTTCTTCTCTTGATCCTTCTTCCGTCCCTTCTTTTCAATATTCGGAACCTCATTAGGAATGAGCTCCGCTATGGCTTTCCAATACTGTTTGTCAGCTTCTTTATGGAACTTTTCTTGATTAATTGAGTACAACTGCCACAAGAAAAAGAAGAAGAAGGGGAAATAAGAAGTCAAATTTAGAGAAACAGGCAATTTTGTAAGATGAGTATTGTGGATCTAACGCAATTCCCAAAAGACGTACGTTCTCTTTGTCTCGGTTATTGGTCTTATTGGTCTCAATATTGACCTTTCTTTTCTCATAGAATGCTTTCTTAAACTCTTCACCTTCCTCAACAATTTGGTTTCTGATTTCTTTTTCCCTGTTCTCATTCTCCTCAAGACGGATAGCGTTTTGCCTGCATCCCCACACAAACTGTAAGGAATCTACAGAAGGAAAGTATTACTCGAGAACCATTACTATTTTCACAACAAATATGAACTTTTCTCTGAATAGGAAAATGAAAAACTGATTTAAATCCAGCCAACACCACCAATGGACTCGGATACTTATCACATCAACATCACTGTTCACCCGTACTTTTCCTTCTTATTTCCTTTTAAATTAGTCTGAAAGATCAAAAAGAGAAGAGGCTTTTGCATAACCAATTATTCCCAAGATGAATAAGTTGATGAAACACCCAGAACATGGAGTGGGAATAGTTGTTCTATATCCCAAAGTTGAGGTTGCAACCTATAAGCTTATCTCCAAATAAGATTAAAAACTTTTTCCTAATTAGCACATTTGAGATTTTCTAAAGTTCTTTCACTATGTATTCCTATTCTCAGTAAATCAATTTTAGAAGAAGAATAATACCTCAAGCTGTCAAGCATTGCAAACATATTTGAGTCTTCAATCCGCAATCTTAAGAGAATAAGTGGAGTAAGTCCTAACCATTATAAACCCTTTCGAAAGCTCCCATACAACTGATGTTGACATATCGCATCCTTAATACCCTTCTCTACGTATAACCTGATGCTCCGGTTGACACATGGAATTAAGCTTTTTTTTGTTTTTGGATTTGGGTTTTTGGACTTTGACACGCTTATATTTTAAGAAGAGGTTTTGCAATGTGTAACAGATGCTACTTTTGCAACAAAGAAGAAGAGAATGGTAGTCATCTATTTTTGCATTGCTGAACGACTATGAGATCTGTTCCTAGCATGTTCGAATTGAAATGGGTCATACCAAACTCTCTGAAGGATCTACTGCTTGGTTGGGGTCGCAAAGGAAGAAACAAGTCTCTGAAGGAAATCTGGAAAACTATCCCCGCTTGTGTATGTTGGGTACTCTGGAAAAAAAAGGAACTCTAGCTGTTTTGAGGGCAAAGCAATCACTGTACAGGAGATGAAACATAGATGTTTGTGTATGCTAGACTTTTGGTGCAATTTTCAGGACGTATATGAAAAGACAGGATATAGAATTCATTAGCTCGTTTCAGGAGTAGGATCTTTCATATAGAGGCGTTCCCCACCCCCCCC